GGCGTTGAAATAGACAAACATAAAGCTTACAATTATTATCAAAAATCTGCTGATATGGAAAATCCTTATGGAATGAGTAGTCTTGGTAATTGTTATCAATGTGGAATAGGTATAGAAAAAGATGAATATAAAGCATTCAATTATTATAAAAAATCTGCGGATATGGGACATGCTCTTGGAATATATAACATAGGTTATTGCTATCGGAATGGAATTGGTGTTGAAAAAGATGAGAAAAAAGCATTTGATTATTATCAAAAAGCTGCTAATATGGGAAATTCTAATGGAATGAACTCGCTTGCATATTGTTATGAAAAAGGAATTGGTGTTAAAAAAGACAAAAACAAAGCGTTTATTCATTATGAAAAATCCGCAGATATTGGGCATACTGATGGAATAAATAATCTTGGATATTGTTATCAAAATGGAATTGGTATCGAAAAGAATGAACACTTAGCTTTTAATTATTATAGAAAATCGGCTGATATGGGAAATTCTAGTGGAATGAATTCACTTGCATATTGTTATGAAAAAGGAATTGGTGTTAAAAAAGACGAAAAAATGGCATTTACTTATTATAAAAAATCTGCAAATATTGGGTACGCTGATGGATTAAATAATCTTGGATATTGTTATCAAAATGGAATTGGCGTTGAAAGGGATGACAATAAAGCATTTGTTTATTATGAAAAATCTGCGGATATGGGTGATGCTAGTGGAATGTATAATGCTGGACACTGTTATCACGATGGGATCGGTGTAGAAAAAGATGAACATAAAGCATTCATTTACTATCAAAAATCTGCAAATTTGGGAAACTCCAGTGGAATGAATGAAGTGGGCTATTGTTTTCGGAATGGAATCGGTGTTGAAAGAGATGAATCCAAAGCGTTTGTTTATTATCAAAAATCCGCTGATTTAGGAAATATTAGTGGAACATACAATCTTGGATATTGTTATAAATACGGAATTGGAGTTGAAATAGATAAACGTAATGCCTTTATTTATTATAAAAAATCTGCAGAATTGGGTAATGCTAGTGGAATAAAAGAACTTGCATATTGTTATCTTAATGGAATTGGAGTCGAAATCGATGAATATAAAGCATTTATCCACTTTAAAAAGTCTTCAGAGATAGAGAATGACAGAATATCTTAGGCTACTTTAATTAGAATATATTAATATCGAAAAAGAAACAATTTAAAGTTTATACGTATAAGTTTTTGGAGGGATAGACTTGATATAGATTTCATATATAATTTGAGGCGTTATATGTTCGTTCGCAAGATAAATTGCATCTTAGAATGGTTGAAATTTTACTTAGCGAATTCATTTTATAAATAAAAGACTTCGGTTTTTATAACTAATTTGATGAGATTGTTATTTTAAAAAAAATGGAGGAAATTGTTTTCTTATTAGCTGCCCGATATGACAGTATCGGAGCAGCATTTTGTCTCGAAATCGGTCACGGGATATGTAAGTCGTATGATGCACCGATTATTGATTGTTTGTTGATCTATTGTTTCCTGCTTATTGATGTATTGATTGATCCGATTGATGCTGTTATGAACTCATTTTTGAGTTTAGTGACGTAGTGACGTAGTAATTTCGATTAGTAATCGTTAGTGGTATTTAAGAGGAACGGGTTTGTTCCCAGGTAAAGTAGTTTCTGTTTTTTCTGCTAACCCGACTTTGTCTGGTTTTTTCGTACCTTACCAAGATAGATATAAACATAAACATAAATATGAACATAAGCACAAGCATAAACTTAAGTACATAAGGAAGTGTCTACTTAGCGTGTTGTTTTTTATCTGTACGACAAAATTCAGGAATACAACGTTCATAGTTTTTATATAAGTGCTAGTGAACGACAAATGTCGACCACAAACAAGGAGGCGGATCCAATTACTGTGTCGAGTGACACCGATACTGCTCAAACAAGCCTGGAAACCAGCCTTCAACATTTGTCAGTAGAGACTTTGAGGTTTATTTGTCGAGGAATGGGTCTGTCGGAATTGGGACAGAAGCAAGAAATCGCTGCTAGGCTTGTGAGGGAGTGTAAGGCCTGGACGGGTTTGAAGGACCCCGTAATCGAGCCAACTGAAAAAGGGAAGGATGTGCAGCCCCAGCGTATGCAGAGTGATATATCGATGGATGATTTTGAAGCCTTTTGTTGGATGGGTAATAAGGTGCATCAGCCGGCTGCGGAGGATAGCGCTGCAGGTAATTATGGTAAACCACCAGCTTTGGGGCAAAACTTTATACCTGGTTACACTTTGGAAAGGAACTGCGGAGCTGAGTTGGGTTTATTAACCATGAGTAATGTTGAATGTGGGGGTTTTTGGACGAAGCGTGAATTATCGAAGCAGAGAAATCAATGGGAATACAATGAGTGGTGTAAAGCAGGGGCGTTGGTAGACAAGGCCTTAGTATCAGGTAATATAGATTATATGTGTTTGGCTAGGCAGGTGATTTTAGAGAGGGCTTATGTGGTTAGGGTAGCTGATGAGGATGGCTGGAAGGTAGCGTCGAAGATAGCAGTTGGAGAAATTTTGGATACAATGTCAGAACTCTTGGGAAATAAGCGGGAAAGTGCTAGATTAGCCACCCAACGCTTTACAAAGTGTAGAAAAGCCAAGACTTTGTACTATCCCCATTATAATCAACCCCAGGCTCAGGCTTCATTTGCCCAAGGAAGTGGTGTTTCTCCGGTACAAGTCCCACAGTATCAGCCCTATGTACAACAACCGGGCTTTCAGCAACAGTTTTTGGGCCAACAACTGGGACCTCAGAGTCAGTTTGGCAGAGCCATGACATTTCTGGCTCAAACTTGCCAGCCAATCCCTCAATTTGGGCCCTTTTTACAGCACGCACAACAGGGACCCGGAATAGGTGTGTCGTTTCCAGCACAATGCCAGAAGTATTGCCAACGTCGCAGTGGCCAAGAAGGTTTAATAGGAATAAGAGTTTTAAAGGGAAGGATGTGGTTTGTTATATCTGTGAGGGCAAAGGGCATTTTGCCAACGAGTGTAGCTCTAAGAAAAACTTTGTGTTGCCCTTTTGAGGTGATGGAACCCGTCCTGGAGAAAGTTGACTACACTCGGGGGTCTGTGAGACGAGAGGTGGTGTATGCAAAAGACCAGGTGGTGGGAAGGATTCACAGTCGAGCTGCAATAGAATATTGAGAGGAAGTTATAAAGCTATCACAACTAGTGATGAAATGGTTGAAGGAGGGAGTCCCTTTGTTTCCAAGGAACTTGGTACAGTTAATAAGCGAGCCAGATCCGAGGCCGTATCATTTTACACAGGATGAGGAAATTTGATTAATGGGGGAATTAGAGTGTTTGGAATCTTCGGGAGCGATAGTAAAGGTCTCAGAGGGTTGTTTCTGTCCAGCAGACCTTTTGGAAGTAAGTCCGGTTTTTTTGGTGCCAAAACAAGGCCCCAAGAAGTTCCATCTCGTGATCGATTTGAGAAGGCTAAATCGAACTTTTTCGGAGAAGACCTTTCGCTTCGAAGGCCTAGGAGGCTTGCTTTGAGCGATTGGTTGGGGGTGGTGGTTAATGTCGTTCGACCTGAAGGAGGGTTACCATTATGTGTTGATGAACGTCAAAGCTCAAAGGCTTTTGGGTTTTACGGTAAAAGGGATTTGGTACCAATACAGAGTTCTACTCTTCGGGCTAAGCCAGGCCCATGGGTATTTTCAAAGATTATAAGAGCCTTAATTGAAAAGTGGCGCTTCCAAGAAATTTTCTGCAGCTGCCATTTGGATGATGTGTGGGTGGCCCACCCATCGAAGGAGGAATTATTAAAAATAAGTGAAGAGATTGTGAAGGTCGATTTGGAAGGATGTGGTTGGACCAGAGCTGTAAAAAAAGAAAACTGGGACCCAACACGAGTACTGAAGTTTTGCAGAATGATTGTGGATATGGAAAAGGGTTGCATTGTGGCACCGAAAGAGAAAATAGTATCAACTAAGGCAAAACTGGAAGCTTTATTAAAGGCACCATCGGTAACGGCAAGAGACCTGGCTTCGGTAGCAGGCAAGGTAGTAAGTTTGTCCAGGGCATTGCTTCTAGTCCAAGCAAAATGCATGGAGTTTTACAAACTCATAGATGCACAGAACCGTTTCACATAGCAGTAGGACGACAAAGTCCAGTTGTCAGCACAAGCAGTCGAGGACGTTGGCTGGTTGATAAAAAATCCGAGAAAGTAGAACGGCCGGCCAGCTTGGAAGCCCTCATGGATAAATCCAGTTTATGTGGATGCCTCAATCATGAGTTGGTGTGGTATTTACCGTGAACACAAGGCCTTGGGAAGTTGGTTGAACAAGTACACAGCAAAAGTCATTGCACAATTGGAAGCTTTGGCGATACTAAGAACTTTGCAGTTATTCAAGGACCTCTTGAAAGGGACTTGGATGACCTTGTTTATCAACAACAGGGTAGCTCTAAGGACGGTAACGAAAGGAGGCCCGGAGGAGTGGCAGAAGGATATTATGAGGCAAATTTGGGAAGTATATGTGGAAAGCGATATAGCAATTTTCAGTACTCGATAGGTGCCATCCAAGCTGAACCCGGCAGATTTCCTTACCAGAGTAGCCGATCTGGGGGACTGGGAATTAAGTCCGGTGGTTGTGGACTAGTTGGAGTTTGTTTGGAGAAAGTTCGAAGTGAACAGGTTCGCAAACCACCTGAATGCGAAAACATGAAGGTTCAACAGCCTATATTTCTGTCTAGGGTCTGAGGTGGTAGACTGTTTCACCCAGGATTGGGCTGGGATGAGAAATTACATGTGTCCCCATTCAGACAGGTTCACAGGGCACTGTGTCATGCAAAGGAATGTGGGGCATGGATAGTTATAATAGTACCATTGTGGGTCTCAGCCCCATGGTGGCCTTTGATAGTAAATTCGCCCCGGGATGAAATCGACCTTCCCCCAGCAGATCAAATTGTGCTGCCAGGGCCTTCTGAGAGCTTGAAGCCTTGTATAAACAGCCAATGGTGCCTGAAGGCAGTGTTACTGGATTGGTCCAAGGGCTGCTTGGTAAAGCAAAGCTGTTGATGGATAGTTTAATTAGTGTAGTATATAAAAAACGACTCAAAAAGTACAAGGTGTTTTTGAAAATTTTGCGGTCTGAGCAGGTTTTCTATCATACCCCGCATCAAGGGAGCTGTTGGCGGCTTTTCTTGCTTGGTTGGAGGTTTCAGGAAGAGTGACGAAAATGACTATTTGCCTAGCTGCGGTGGCTAGAGAGCACAAGCTTAGGAACTTTGAGAACCCAACGAAAGGGGGCTCGGTTCATTTAATAGTAGAAGGTGTTAAAAGAGTCGCGGCTCAAGTAAGAGACAAGGCTAATTGGCCTAGAGACCCGCTGCCGGTTGCAGTAGTTAGACAGTATTTGGAGTATCCACCACCAGGAGTGAATATCGAATTTTGGGCTTGGGACCTGGTCTTAGTAGCTTTGGGTTTGAGATTAATATGAAGGCCAGGTAAGTTGTGTAATTTGAGAAGGTCCGATGTTTTAGAGAGAGACGAGAAGTTGTGGTTTAGGATTGTGAAGTCGAAAACTGATCAATTAGGGAGGGGCAAGTTCGTTCCGTTAGAAAGGACAACAAGTAAGTTGTGTCCAGTAAGACTTTTAAGTATATATTTAAGGGTAAGGCCAAATACTTCGTCGGAGGAGCTGTTGTTTTTGTTAAAAACGAGAGAAAGTTTGTCTGTAGTAGCTATTTTTGTGATAGTTAAACGGTTTGCAGAAAACGCAGGGTTGCATGGGAGATATACTGCCTATAGTTTAAGAATTGGGGCACTACAGCAGCTATGCAGGGGGGAATGACAATAGAGCAAATTCAATCGATTGGTGGTTGGTCATCAGGGGTGGTACAGCTATATATGAGGGCAGTTGGTGCAGCCGAGGCAGGTGCTTCAAGGCTAATGGGCTTTGATTAGTTAAGACTACAATTATCGAAACATGACGATACTCGGCAAGACCCATAGCTTAGTTTTTTCATAGTTTTCGTATTTGTTTTTGTCTAACCCTCGATAAGAGACAAAATTAGCTGCCCGATATGACAGTATCGAAGCAGCATTTTGTCTCGAAATCAGTTATGGGATATGTAAGTCGTATGATGCACCGATTATTGTTTGTTTGTTGATCTATTGTTTCCTCCTTATTGATGTATTGATTGATCTGATTGATGCTGTTATGAGCTCATTTTTGAGTTTAGTGACGTAGTGATGTAGTAATTTCGATTAGTAATCGTTAGTGGTATTTAAGAGGAACAGGTTTGTTCCCAGGTAAAGTAGTTTCTGTTTTTTCTGCTAACCTGACTTTGTCTGGTTTTTTTGTCTCTCCTGCCCATCCCTAGCAAGCATCTCGTTGGGGCCCGTATATCAAATCGATAGTCCGTACCTGAAAAATCATGGCTTGTCAGGGCAGCAGTATTTTAGAGTTTATAGTCTATTGTTTTTATGTAAGGTGGCCTGTTGGGACGACAGTCACAGTTTATTTTTTACAATGAAAGTGGCCTGTCGGGATGACAATTACGGAAAGATATTTGGTTGCGGCAGGGTTTTTTCCAGTAGGACTGGTTTTTTTCGCTATGACCGCCAAAATTACCTCTACAGGTGGTATAGTAGCATATGTAGTAGTCAATAGCTAGACTCTTGCATACAATACTTTCAAAGTCTGTATTGTTAGTAGTAGGTACACTTTAGCATGTAGCGGAAGAAACAGATAACCCATAGCTTTTTTCGTAGTTTTCTTTTTCTTAGTTTTTTCATAGTTTTCGTATTTGTTTTTGTCTACCCTTCGATAAGAGACAAAATTAGCTGCCCGATACGACAGTATCGAAGCAGCATTTTGTCTCGAAATCAGTTATGGGATATGTAAGTCGTATGATGCACCGATTATTGTTTGTTTGTTGATCTATTGTTTCCTCCTTATTGATGTATTGATTGATCTGATTGATGCTGTTATGAGCTCATTTTTGAGTTTAGTGACGTAGTGATGTAGTAATTTCGATTAGTAATCGTTAGTGGTATTTAAGAGGAACAGGTTTGTTCCCAGGTAAAGTAGTTTCTGTTTTTTCTGCTAACCTGACTTTGTCTGGTTTTTTTGTCTCTCCTGCCCATCCCTAGCAAGCATCTCGTTGGGGCCCGTATATCAAATCGATAGTCCGTACCTGAAAAATCATGGCTTGTCAGGGCGGCAGTATTTTAGTTTATAGTCTATTGTTTTTATGTAAGGTGGCCTGTTGGCCTGTCAGGATGACAATCACAGAAAGATATTTGGTTGCGGCAGGGTTTTTTCCAGTAGGACTGGTTTTTTTCACCGTGTGCCCACCAAAATTACCTCTACAGGTTGTATAGTAGCATATGTAGTAGTCAATAGCTAGACTCTTGCATACAATACTTTCGAAGTCTGTATTGTTAGTAGTAGGTACACTTTAGCATGTAGCGGAAGAGACAGATAACCCATAGCTTTTTTCGTAGTTTTCTTTTTCTTAGTTTTTTCATAGTTTTCGTATTTGTTTTTGTCTACTCCTCGATGAGAGATAAAAATAACATTATTTGCCTATTTTTCATGAAACTCCGGGTATCTTTGACAGAACCCATCTAGTATCACCACCAAAATCAGGTATGTATGCACAAAGCTTAAATTTATTCACTAATAATAAGTATAATATTATTATTATATGAAATTTTCCTTTTGAATATCGTATTTTCTAGACAGAGACAGAGGCTACTCATTTTACATAATCCTTGTCGAAAGATGTTCGCCTTGTCGAAAGATAAAACCCTTATCATATTACTAAAAAAATTATTATTATAATAAAGAATTAATAAATATATCGATTTAGTAAATTCCTAAAACTACGTATATGCAAAGGAAAAACTTAGTATTTATCGTATTTAAAAAATATGAACCGTTAAAGATTTTGACAGGATATTGAATTCAAGTCATGTCTCATATTTAAAAGCCAACCTTAATGCAAATACATCTTACTGTGATCAAAATTTAAGCAATGATCACGTACGTACGTACATGATTTTAGTGTGGTTCTTTAACGGTTCAGAAATCACAATCTTGATTTCAAGCATTCCAAAAATCATTGACCTTGACTTGGCCTTCACTAATTAATTTTCAGATCGGTGACTCAGCTGTTGCTTGGCTTAAGCTGCAGTTCTTAACTAAATTCATTATTAGCCAGTAATATTTAATACTATTGTATCACTATTATTTACCACAGCTTAAGCTATGGCTCAAGTAATGCCCGAGTTATGACTCAAGTTGTGGCTTCAATAACCTTGAATCAAGTTGGATTCATGATTTTAAAACGCTGAGCCAAGCAATACAAATCGTTAACAACCCTAGTTCATATCTGATCCTTGTTTTAAATAGATAAAAAATAATAGTAAGGCAAAATATTTAAATTTAAAGACATAATAATTAAGGCTTCAGCCTATACAACGATATCATTATGCTAATATAGATCAATTAGTGTGGTATTTCACAAAAGATTTCTTCCAATTTGTTTGTATTAGCAATTGGATTGCCATAAAGATACAAGGAAGTCAGTGTAGTATTTTTGCTGAGAACCTCTGCTAACGTCCTTACTCCTTCAAAGTCAAGCTTATTAAAAGAAAGATTTAAAGTATCCAGAGTAGTGTTTATGTAGAGTGCTTTTGCTAATAGTTTTCCTTCCTCAAAATCAAATTCATTATTGCTAATGATAAGTGAAGTTAAAGTACTATTTTGCAAAGAGCAAAAGTTAATGCCTTCGCAGCTTCTGATACAAATTGATTACAGCCAAGATTTAATGAAGTTAATGTGCTATTTTTACAAAGAACCTCTGCAAACGTTATTCCTCCTTCTAGACCAATTTCATTATCATACTGTTTATGAAAAGTGCCTTCGATAACTATTTTCCTCCCTCGGAACCGAGTATGTTATTAGAAATATCTAAAGAAGTCAGGGTAGTGTTCTTGTAAAGTGCTTTTGCTATTGTATTCCTCCTTGAAAACGAAATTTATTGTAACTAAGATCTAAAGATGTTAGAGCAGTATTATTACAAAGAACCTCTGCTAATGCACTTGCTATTTCATCATGAAGATTATTTCTAGAAAGGTTTAAAGAGGTTATAGTAGTGTTCTTGCAAAGAACATCTGCTAGTACTTTTCCTCCTTCAAAACCAACTTTGTTAATTATAAAGTCGTAATAAAGTTGATTGTTACGAAGATTTAAAGAGGACAGATTAGTGTTGATGCAAAGAGCCTCTGCTAACGCCTTTACACCATCATTGCCAATTCGATTTATGCTAATATCTAAAGAAGTCAAAACAGAGTTTTTATAAAGGGCCATTACTAATGCTTTCCCACCATCTGAACCAAGCAGATTATCAGAAATATCTAAAGAAATCAGAGTAGTGTTTAAACAAAGTGCGCTTTTCCTACTTCAGATCTAAGTTGAATATTTCTAAGACTCAAAGAAGTTAGAATATTGTTCTTGCAAAGAGCCTCTGCTAATGCTTTCCCTCCATCGGAATAAAGTTGATTATTTGTAAGTTTTAGAGAGGTCAAAGTGGCATTTTTACAAAGAACCCTAGCTAATGCTTTTCCCGTCCGAGCCCAATGGATTATTAGAAAGATCAAAAAAAACTAGAATAGTGTTTACACAAAACGCCTTTGCTAATGCTTCTATTTCTCTAAAATTAATTTGATTATTAAAAAGTGTTAAAGAAAAAGAATTCAAAGTGACATTTTTGCAAAGAGCATCTCCTAATACTTGTGTCGCTTCAAAATCTAAATGAGCAGAAAGATAAATAGAAGTGATAGTGGTGTTTCTATAAAGATCTTTAAACCTCATTATGTTACAAATAGTTCCTCTAAATGTTAAAGATTTAAGCTTCTTACTTATTGTCACGTATGTGACAGTAACCGAAGTAAAAGCGACGATCAAAAGCTTAAAATAACTTTACAGAATAATAGAGTGAAATAAACTATGTAATTAGTAATAGCGTCATTATTAGAGTATAGAATGTAAAGATATAAAGAAGATATGTAAATTTAGAAGCCTAGAATAGATCAGTACTAGTTTAGTTTAGTTAGAGCTTTGCATATTTTAAATAAAGAGAATAACTAATATTATCGTCAATAACATTTTAATAAATAAATAAGCGAGTGTTCGTTAGATCAATATCTGGTTAGATTTCGGTGCTAAACTGCTAGTATCGCTTAACCCCGTGACA